ACTTGCTATAATGGCATCGTGCTGTCTGCCGATGTCGAATTGCAGCTCCGTTGCTGACTGGTCTTTCCATCATTTTCAGATCGATCGAAAAGCCAGTATTGATCTGCCGCCTTTCGGTGTCTGCCTCGGTGCCTCCATACCCTGCGTCACCTTTAGTAGCCCGGACGAAGACTGAGCCGGTATAACGATCGATAGCTGCAAACTGCACATGATGCAGTTCGCTACGTTGTGCCGGAGAACTCGCCATGGCCCACGATAATTCTCGTTTCCCATACAGTATACGCGACTGCAGAGCTTGTTATTACTGTAATATTTGCTTTCATATAGCAGCAGGCATCCACGAGGGAATTGTTTCCTTAGTATGTAGGTTCATATGATCCTAATGAGTCCTGTTTTTAGTGAAATTCAAATAAAATATTCCCGATCTAATTTAGTAATGAAAGCCAAACGGAATTTTTGCTTCGTTTTCATGATGCTAAAGATCCACTCCATGGAGCGGTGGTATATTTAGAGAAGCGACCGATAAGGTGTTTGAAATATCGCATTATATTCCGGACATAATTTATTTCCATGTAGGCATTTTTCAGCCAGCGCCAGACGGCATCGTCTAAACTAGAAACTCATGAATTACATTTGATCATTCCATTAATCAACTCATGCCATTGATGCAATGACTGGATGTGCTGAAAGAACCGTTCTGGTGACGTTCTAAACTATATGAACATATCGATCTGGCACATCATTGCTGAACACCTTTTTCCAACTGAACTGTACCAGGCTACTGCAGCCACAGACTTTGATGCACTTTCCGCGTGTAAAAGAAATTACTGAACAACGGTTGAGCTAGTGCTTAAATTGCCTGCACATGCAGATCGTTATAACTGCAAAACATCATGTTATAAGCTTAATGTTATCTAGGAAACGAAAAAGAACAATTTATCATACTTGGAGCATGGTTCCTCCAAAACCAGATTATACGTAGTATTGCATATTTACCTTGCCCAGGGGTCAAGTTACGCCAGCCATTACTCTACAGTATTTAAATAATTGTTGCATTGATTGCATGTCGCATCATTTTATTTCATAAAGCAATTTCCTGCTCAGTACTATTATTATGCTAAATTGGTGCTGTTAATAACTATTTTAAAGATTGTTTTCAGAAGCGACGAGAATCTTAAAAGCAGCATAGAATGCCAAGAATGAGGAGAACTTTGCTTAAGGGTATGAATGCTGATATATTTGAAAATTCATATCATCGCGCAGAAGAAAAATTCCTGCTACCTCGTATTTTTGTTGCTAAAACACAAATCAAGTAGAAACATTACAAAAATGATGAACAGGAGAAGCAACGAATATGTTCAATATTTGAACGAATGAAAAAGGTAGAAGAATAAATTGATTCCCTAGACAAAAGTGTTTGCTATCAACACACGAAGGTATTTATGCAAAACATAACACATGATATGAAACAGATGTCTGAACGCAAGGTGATTCCTCCTTTGAAATTCACGTGCAAGGAATGGCTATCATTGGTCAACGGCGAGCTACCAGTCGCCGCGTTGCATATGCTACCCGGTCAAAGATTTCCTTCAGGTCGATCGTGTGGATATGAGAGATAAGTACGGCGGCTATAGGCAGTATGAAAATCCTTTTTTTGCAGATCCGCCAAACCCACTGGGATGATACAGGTAATCCATTGGAAGAGGTCCAATGACAGAGGGACGAACAATCTCATTGGAAGGCAGTCTCGAGAATTTCAATGGCCCAGTAAGGTAAAAGGCCCATTTGTGTACTTGAGTACAAAACACAAAACTCGCCTGATCAGACCAATCTATGAGTTCGTTTAAGTGAATCCCCAGGTACTTAACAGTGTTAACGCTTGGGGTCAGTTCGTTCTCAACAGCTGTTCCGTGTTTGGCCGCTGACAGCAGATGTTTTGGCTCAATGCCTTCCATCACACAGTTCATTTCGAAACCTGTCCCTGCTGATCTTCAGGTTGTTGTGCTGGTTGCACTACTCCAAATCCATGACGCCACCTTGTAGCTTGGAGTAATATGCAATGTATCTGATAGTTGAAATCACTAC